GGACTTCTTCCTATTGTAACCACCATAATGTAGTGTTAACCATAACCGTCCAGGTAATATCATACCTGTGGACTTCTTCCTATCGTAACCACCATAATGTAGTGTTAACCATAACCGTCCAGGTAATATCATACCTGTGGACTTCTTCCTATTGTAACCACCATAATGTAGTGTTAACCATAACCGTCCAGGTAATATCATACCCGTGGACTTCTTTCTATTGTAACCACCATAATGTAGTGTTAACCATAACCGTCCAGGTAATATCATACCTGTGGACTTCTTCCTATTGTAACCATTATAATGTAGTGTTAACCACAACCGTCCAGGTAATATCATACCTGTGGACTTCTTTCTATCGTAACCCTGGTTAACACTACATTATGGTCAATCGTCTAATTGATATCATACCTGTGGACGTCTTCCTATTGTAACCACTATAATGTTCTCATAAGCCTACATTCATCTTGTGGAGTACAGTTTTATATGAGGATGTAAGCCATGCAACATTACGTGGGTACAAGTAAACAAAAGCCCTGTTCTCATAGGCCTACATTCATCTTTGTGGAGTTCAGTTTTATTGGAGGATGTAAGCCATGCAACATTACGTGAGTATAAGTAAACAAAAACCCTGTTCTCACACATCAGAATTATTGCACGCATTAAGAACATACAACAACAATGATAGTTTAGCTGTGATTCGTCACAACACTCACCTTCCTTTTTGAAGCAGCCAATCGCTGGTCGCGAGTGTCTTCAGCCTCTCCTGGTGTTTGTTTTCCCCACACGACAATAGCGATCCTGGAGTAAGTGAAAATAAGTACAATCAACGGAAGGAAATATTGTAGGAGCATTAGAGCCATGCTATAGTAATATCTTTGGATTGGAGTGTTCCACACCTCGGTGCAGTGAAATCGGTCGGTGTTGTTTTGTTGGACTAGCTTAGAAACGATGGCTGTGGGTAGGGGCGTTAGCAGTGCCACAAGCCATACGGCAAAAATAAGTAGCTTAGCCTGTAGTTTGGTCATTCTTGGCCGCAGGGGCTTAATGATGGCAATATATCTGTCTACACTAATCGCTATTAGTGTGTAAGCACTAACAAATACCGAGACAGCCTGAGCGTAGGTGAAAATCACACAGAAGACAGCGCCGAATGGCCACCGTCCGAGAATAAGATTGACCACAAAGGTAAAGGGAATGCACAGAACGGCCATCAAGATGTCCCCAACAGCAAGGTTAACTATGAAGAAGTTGGTCACAGTTCGCATCCGGGGATCAGATAACACAATATAACAAACAATTCCATTCCCACCAATGGCGGCAAGGGATATAGTGATATACATAATGTACATGAGCACCTGTACGCCAATAGGGACGAGGCTTCCATCTGCGGTGACTTGAGAAGCTGTAATGTTGTCCTCTTTAGCTTCACGGAGGTCCAAGGAAATGTTGAGGTCAGCGAACACCGTGGTTTCCCAGTGACCAGCGGTCAAGTCTTGGATAGTTTCTGTCATTCTTGCTATCAAATCGAATCTTCTCTGATAACCTGAGAAAATAAAACACACAATCAAACAATTTAAAAACTTATCATATGGTACAAACATAAGAAAGCAGTGTGCTGATTGGTCCTGAGAAACAATTTAAAAAATTATCATATGATACAAACATAAGAAAGCAGTGTGCTGATTGGTCCTGAGAAACATTCTTAAAAGCGTTAACAGGTTCAAATGGAAATGTTAGTTTTCTAGTTTCATGTAGATAAGCTCGGAAATGAGTGAAGAAGAAAAGGAAATATATTCAGGGAAATGCATCATCTGGTGAAAAGCTCCGATGTTACTTTCATCCAGTTTTTGTAAACATAGAATGTTATCTCACCATTAGTTCATAATTAATGTTTGGATCTTAATTTTCACCCAGTCTTTGAAAAATGAAATATATTTTTAGCACATTAAAACGAAAGTTCCTGTGGTTACTTTATATCAACATAAAACATATTACGTCAATATGAAATACACTCTCGTTGTCAGGCCTCAACAAACCTTTGGGCGTCCGCATGAACATTAAATATACTATGTCAATATGAAATACACTCTCGTTGTCAGGCCTCAACAAACCTTCGGGCGTCTGCATGAACATTAAATATACTATGTCAATATGAAATACACTCTCGTTATCAGGTTTCAACAGAATTACATGTGACTATGTGAAAATGAAATACACTAAATTCGTATATATCTTGTGTACAGCTATCTAGATTAATTGAATTTAAAACCCAAACCTACAGAGTTTTTACAGTGTCATGCTGGAATATTTCACTGACGTTAAACCCATTAGATCAATAGTCTGGGATTCTAGGTTATCAAAACTCTGGAAACTTACAACGCTAAATATCGGGTTTCGACACCCACGATGAGCAGAGCACAGATTTCATATTGTGTAGCTTAACAACAAACGACCTCAAAATGTTACGATCCTTATAAAGCTGGAAAAACAGATTCTGGCATTTTTGAGTCGAATAATCCTTAGAAATCAAAATGTTTAAATTCGATAATGAATTATTAACATCCATATAATATTATAAACTCAGGATGAATTATTAACATCCATATAATATTATAAACTCA